TGGATTCGAACCCGCCACCTTAGGTGTATGTGGCTGGCGCCTTAGCCACTTGAGCCACAGGCGCCAAGCCTGCAATAATTACTTTTACATTTAAAACTAATGTCTCACCTTCAGTGGTCATGTATTACTATGTTAATGAATAATTATTCAATTGTAAAAATTATTCTTGTCTTCCAAATTTTAAAACTTATAAATTAGAAGCATGATGACTTTCCTTAATCTGCACTACAGGTTTTTTTGTTCATTTGTTTTATTTTTGTTTTTGTGTTTGCAGTAGTCTTGCTCTGTGCCCTGGGTAGAGTGCTACGGCGTCATAGTTCACAGCAACCTCAAACTTTTGGGCTTAAGCAATCTTTTTGCCTCAGCCTCTTTAGTAGCTGGGATTATAGGTGTGCACCACTACATCTGACTGTTTTTTCTGTTTTTAGTAGAAACAGGGTCTCATTCTTGGCTCAGGCCGGTCTCAAACTCCTAAACTCAAGCAATCCCCCTATCTCAGCCTCACCTCAGCCTCCCAGATTGCTAGGATTACAGGCATGGGCCACCACACCCAGCCATAGTCTTCCTTTTAGAAAAAGATGACTTTTGAAAAATAAAATGGATATTCTATAATTACCTCGTAGGTCATGCACCAAAGAAACACAGCATATTTAATCTCATAGTCTCTGCAGAATGCATATGTATGTCCTACCCTTTTCAGTTCAGTTTGTTTCCATTGGAAGCAGAGCTGTAACAGTTCCAAAATTTTAGTTTCAATTAATATTTGAGGTTTCTGCATTTTTCTTCAAATATTTGTTGCTTTTGGCTTTAAAAACTTCTATATGGTAGGAAAATTTAAATGTGCAAATGTGTGTAGTTATTAACTTTATTCAAGTTATATTATTTGGAATCATAGGCACTTTGAATAATGCTTAGGAGAAAATATTCTCTACCTTTATAAAGTAAACTATCCCTACATATATTTACATGTATTCATAAGAATATATTTATGAATCTTTCTACATATATAATGATTCTAGAATAAATAAACTAGCTCCAGGAGTCTTCTTTTTTTTTTTTTTTGGAGACAGAGCCTCAAGCTATTCCCCTGGGTAGAGTGCCGTTGCATCACAGCTCACAGCAACCTCCAACTCCTGGGCTCAAGCAATTCTCCTGCCTCAGCCTCCCAAGTAGCTGGGACCACAGGCGCCCGCCACAACGCCCAGCTATTTTTTTTTTTAGTTGCAGCTGTCATTGTTGTTTGGCGGCCTGGGCTGGATTAGAACCCACCACCTTAGGTGTATATGGCTGGTGCCTTAGCCACTTGAGCCACAGGCACCAAGCCGTTCCAGGAGTCTTCTAAAGAAATAACTTTCATTATATTTTGATGACATATGTGTGTCTGTTTCTCTCTCTTTTTTTTCTTAAGATGGCCCATCCTGTTCTTTAAAATTATCAGGGAATAATAAGCCAGATTTTCTCTTGGTTAAATTTTCCAATGCTTCATGCAGTATTTAAATCATTAGTTGTAGAATAAGTTGTTGCCTTGAAAAACTTGCTTCTTCCCTTGCTTGGTGTCCTTGCCTTGAGCTTTAGGTGTCAGGAGGGGTGAGGTGAAGTATAGATTTGCTCAGGCTGCTAGAGAAGTTGAGTAGAAATCTTTCATGTTACCTGGGCTCAGATTTATAATTGCTATTATTTAGGGTTGGACAATGCCTTGAGCGTGTACAACTCCATGACTTCTGGGCTCATTTGAATAGGGAAAATCATAAGGAATATTACAACAGCAATGGCATTGTTAAGCATCTATTTTTACTATTCCCCATTTCAAACACTTTATTTTTTCATGTGATTGTCATAATAGTAAGTTTATAAGTTTGATATTATGTTTATGATAATTTATGATTGTTAACCTACTTTTAAGAAAACTAAGCCTTATATATAAATTAAATAATTGCCCAGGATCTCTATATGAGTGATTGACAAGATTAAAACCAGGCCTGTGTGTGTAAATCCTGTCCTCTTTACCATCATCCAATATTGAGTCCATGGTAGAAAATCATTAATTTGGCTGTAATACATCTTTGGTATAGGATATGGCTGTACCTTTGTAGAGATACTGCCCCCTCCCAAGTTTTTCCTTCTAAATAAACTTGGTGACCATTGCACCAAGAATACATGCAGCAAAATTTTATTACAGTGAATAGCAGTAGAGACCCAGGATCCACAAGGGTGAATAAAAAAATATTGTTTTAGCAGTGAGTGAGTTCACAACTGATAACAGAGCAATTCGTAAAACCATTTGCCTTCTAGAAAGGAATCTGCCATATTTCCCAGAGGACAAAGAAGGACATTTATCCAGGGTGGAAAAGGAGAGCATCTTAAGTATATGGCCCATCTCGTCAATGCCTGGAACCTGTCATTTGTTGGTTATTATCAATGTTATTCTCTTGTTTTTCTAGGTTTATAGCCCAGCCGGTAAAGGAGACTCTATTTATCCGACCCCGGAAGTACATCTGCTGTTCCAGCACAGAGACCACAGAGCCTGGCTACATCAACATTTCAGAGGTGGCATCAGCTGTGTGCCGCTATGACCTAGATGACATGGACATCTTCTGGCTTCAGGAACTCAATGAAGACCTCGCACAAATGGGTATGTTCTTTTCTCACATGTAAGTTGTACCTTGACTTGACTTGACCTGACTCATGATTTTTTTAGGTTTTCAGGACCCTTAACTTGCTTTCATTTTGTTGCTTTCTTTCTTTTCTGGCCCTTTCATTTATTTTTCTCTTTGATCTTAATGAAGTATTTCTTCAAATCCATAAATATGTTGAAATAGAACAATAACATTTAAATTTGACTTTTTCTTTCCTCATTCACAGTAAATAGCACAGATTGGGAATGACATGAAGGTTTCACAAGGTTGTTTCCCAATTCTGAATGTGAGAATGGTCATGACTTGTTGAACTTCTAGTTGAGAAGGATTCTGAAGCCAGTTCCTGGCTCAGCCCTGAAAAGCACTCTGATCAGTGAGCAGGGCCATGGGTAGGGGTCCCTCTATCAGGGGGGTTGGAACAAAGCTCCAGCTTTGGCATTGGACAGCACCACTGCAGGCTGGCAGTTTGCTGCGCAAGTACCCTTTAATGGAGGACTTATAATTTTGCGGCCTGCATAAAGAAGAATGGCAGGCCTAGGGCAAACTGTCCCCAAAGCAATCCTTAGCTACTTCTAGTGAGTTCTAGAGTTGTCATACAATTTTTTAAAAAGAAAATAAAGTGAAGCAAATGCAAGCAAACAAAAATTTTGGAACTAAACATAATAATTTTAAAGTAAATGTGTGCATACCAGTGAGGCTGGGAAATGCTAAGCTGAAAGGAGTCTCACTTTATACTTACAGCTCTTGTTCACCTGTATTTAATCTAAGCCAGTGTTCAAGTCCAAGTTTTCCTGTAGAATTATGGGTGTTTTGTAAGTTTCTATATGAGATACGGTGAAAGATACATTTGATTTCATTTTTGTTTGAATCATATTTGTTCATTATTAGTACAAAGATGAGTGGTTTTTCTTCTTCCCTTCCTCCATTCCTCTCTCTCTTTCTCTTTCAAATCTGGTATCTGAATGCACATGAATAAAAAATTAAAATTATATTAAATCCAGTTTGACATGGCAATGTTGTTTATCCTGCTGGTAACCAATACTTATTCCTTGATTTTTCAAGCTTTTTGTTTTATGTCTCCTCTTGTTCTATTCTCTAAGAGGATGGGAGGTGGTCAATTTAGAGTAGGAATGCCAAAGAGAAAGGAGTAAAGGACTGACAGAAAGAAAATCAGAGCACGAGGGCATAATCAGTTGGATCAATGGCTCAATATGCAGTTGTATTCATGATGCATATAGTATCTGTAGATTTCAGTCATTACAATGCTCCCTTTGACATGAAACCACTTTATAGTAATATCCCTTTGCTATTTTACAGTTACTTCCCTTTGGATGAGTTTTTTTTAAGGAACTTTTTCTTTTGAAATAGTTTGACTCACAGAAAAGTGGCACAGTTAGTAGTTAGTGCTAAGTGTTCCTGCAGTTCCAGTACCCCTTATATTAACATCTTACTTTACCATGGTACCCTTATTAAAGCTAAGAAACCAGCACAGGTGCATTACTATTAATTAAACTCCAGGCTTTATTGAGATTTCACAGGTTTGTCCACTTATGACCTTTTCTTTATTTTATTTATTTATTTATTTTGAGACAGAGTTTCACTATGTCACCCTTGGTAGAGTACTGTGGCGTCACAGCAACCTCAAACTCTTGGGCTTACATGATTCTCTTGCCTCAACCTCCTGAGTAGCTGGGACTACAGGTGCCTGCCACGATGCCTGGCTATTTTTTGGTTGCAATTGTCATTGTTGTTTAGCTGGCCTGGGCCGTGCTCAAACCCACCAGCATTGGTATATGTAGCCGGCGCCCTACTCACTGAGCTATAGGCACCGAGCCTTATGACCTTTTCTGTTCCATGATCCCTTCTAGGGTCCCATCCAGGATGTATCATTGCATTTACACTTAGGAGAGTTTTAAAAGAGGATTCCCTTATCTCAAGTTTTTCTTTAGAGTGAATGATATTGTAGTGAGGCATCTAAGAGCTTAAACTTTTAAAAACATTAAATTGCACAATTTTTTTGGTTCAGATTAAGGTTTTTTTAATTGAGTACTTACTACATACTAAGCAGTGTATAAACATTACCTCATCTCAGCCTCACAACAAATCAATGAACTTCATATTATTATTCTTATTTTATAGATAAGAACACTAAGCCCTAAAGAGGATAGGTAACTTGCCGGAGTTCACATAGCTAATATGAGGAGAAGTTGGGATTTAAATCTAAGTTCTCTTTTAACCAGACACCCATATACTCCTTCACTCCAAAAAATATATATGAAATTGGTCTTGGCTAGATAAAATAACACATAAGTCCTGGATAGTTTTTGGTTTCATGAGTAGCCATAACATTAAAATGCTAGTTTATGTAGAATTCCAAAGTTCTTAGGGTATCTTATAATACAAATGAAGTAGAATACTGGAATAAATTTGTTTTGTATCATTTTGAGGATTATTCCTAGTTTACAAACTGTTAGAATAAATAAATATGTGCTCTCACAAAATCATTAGTCCTCCCAGTAAGAAAAATGTTTAGCTGTTACCAACATTGGCCATATGGATCTTTTAGTTGGGTTATTAAGTATGGAAGGCTAAGAAAAATTAAAAGTATAGAAGGAAAAAGGAATCAAGAAGCAAAAAAGGTCATTTTAGAATTGACGTTAGACATTTGTGAATGCTGATAGGTATATATTGTATTATAGTTTGCCATTGAAAACTATTGGACTTTTTTTAAAAGTCAGGTTTGAAAAAAAATATTTCATATGTATATAATTATGCACACATAAGACCTAGAATTTTCTTTTATTAATACATTTTCATTTGAAAATTTTTTTGTAGAACCATTAAATGTGCTCATTGAAACTAATTTGCTAAGAATGAAATTACTATGTCCAAATAGTTATTTGATTTTAATTGTTTTATTATGCTGCAGAATAAAGTGTTCAAAACTATAAAGCTTGGTGACAGTCCTCCCACAGTGGGAAAAAGAACAAATGGAGAGAGATATTTAGGAGGAGACTAGTTAGAATTTAAACAGATAGCTTCTAAGGCAGTGGTTCTCAACCTTCCTAATGCTGCGACCCTATAATAAAGTTCCTGTGGGTCACAACCCACAGGTTGAGAACTGCTGTTCTAAGGAATATAGTGAAATGTATTTCTCCTTTTATGTATCAAACACAAATATATGATTACAGGTAAATGTTAGAGTAGCACTACTAAAATATTTTTTTGAAATATGTTTGCTGTAGATAGGGAAGAAATGGTTTTATCATTTAGAATCCCACCCACCCCTGCACTGGGTTCACAATAGGTGATTTGGGGATAATAGCTGACTTATGGGTTGACTGACTGTATTTCTGTGCAGGTTGTGGGCCAGTTGATGAGAATCTTATGGAAAAGACAATAGAAGTCCTGGAACGCCATTGCCATGAAAATATGAACCATGCTATTGAGACAGAGGAAGGGCTGGGCATAGAGTATGATGAAGATGTGATCTGTGATGTGTGCCGGTCTCCAGACAGTGAAGAAGGGAATGATATGGTGTTCTGTGATAAGTGTAACGTCTGTGTGCATCAGGTTAGTAAGAGTGGAGAACGCCATCTCCTCATGGTCAGCCTTTCTGAAGTTCAGTGATGATCTCCAGCTCTCATATCTGGGTAGCGACTTACATTTAAGGGTGGAAATAAAGATTTGGCCTGGCTGTTCTTCATTGTTTCCTAATTACTTATTTACTAACTTTACCCTGGGGGGCTAAACACAGATTTTTATTGTGTTACTTGATGCCCAGACCATTGGAATTGCCTTGTTCAGTTCCCTCTGGGAGTCTTTACTGCTGGGAGGGACTGGTGGGAGGTTCCTCTGCCTTCAAATCCCTGTGGCATCATCAGGTTATACCCATAGTCAGTAATCTTGGTGAGTTTATACTTCCTACAGATGGAAGTCGGTATTCCTTATCCTGGTACCCAAGGCCCTTCTCCACCTCCAAATGTTCTATTGCCAGAAAGCTAGGTCCACCCTACTTTTAAAAATCACAGAATTTTAGGATTATAAAGGACTATCTAACTCCTCAGTTTTATAGAAATACCAGGAAAGGTGATGTGACTTTACCCAAGCTAGTTATTTGTCACTCTTTCTTCCACACTGCCTTTTTAATTAATAATGATGATGATGATACAAACCTTCTTTTTAGCTCTTTCCCTCTTTTCCCTCCATACGCTCTATGCCCCAGCAAAGACAGTTTACTCAAGGTGCGGTGATAAATATTCCTGATAGCCACACCCCAATTTATAAATGCCTTTTCCCACTTTCAGCTATCAAAACTCTGCATATATTCCAAGGTCTAGTTCAGATCCTTTTTTGAACTCCCCTACCCCTACCCTACTCTTCTGAATCTGTTGTGTGTTTTATTTATTTCATTAATTTATCTAGCAAGGGCCAGGTGTGGTAGCTCATGCCTCTGTCCCAGCATTTGGGAAGCCAAGGCGGGTGGATTGCCCTGAGCTCATGGATTTGAGACCTGCTTGAGCAAGAGCAAGACCCCATCTCAAAAAAAAAGTCCAGGCGTTGTGGCAGAAGCCTGTAGTCCCAGCTACTAGGGAGGCTGAGGCAAAAAGATCACTTAAGCCCAAGAGTTTGAGATTGCTATGAGCTATAATCCCATGGCACTCTACCAAAAGCAACAAAGTGAGAGTTTGTCTCAAAAAAAAAAATTTATTTAGCAAATAGACATGGTACTCCATGACTCAGGACAGTGCTGCATGTGCTGAGACCACAGTCAGTGATGAAGAGGCAGGCATAATCACTGCTCCCAGGCAAATCATAGTCTGATGTAGGGACTATAAAGAAACTGCCAGTTGTTTTATAACTGTAAGTCCAAGCTTCTGTGGAAATGTATAGGAGGGACGGACATAGGAAAGAGGTTAGGGACAACTTCCAAGAGGTAGCATTCAAGCTAAATATTAATGACCAAAAGGAGATGTCAAATAATGTGTATGTAGACAGAGAGAAAGACAGGTTCAGAAGGAGTATTGAGAGTAGGCAAAGTATATCAGAGGCAACTCTTGAATGCAGCAGAATTATAGCACAGTGAGGTGGAGTAGGGAAGGCATGGAGAAAGCAGAGAAGGATACAGGAACATGTGTGAAGGACCTTCTACAAACTAAGGAACTTCTGTTTTGTGTTGTCCATGCTGAAGGATATGATTTGTATTTTAGATCATTCTGGCTACAAAATGACTAAAATGATCAGAATAGATAACATAGGAGATAAAGAAACTAGGGCTTAAGACTGTTTTAATTCCTTGAGTCATCTGACCTAACATGAGGTACTTAGAATTATTCTATGACCAATCGGGTCTTTTTCTTCATTTACCTATGTCCTTCAAAATAGTGAATTTTAAAAATTTATCTTCACTCTGCCAGTTATTGTAATTTATATCACACTTTCAGTGAGAAGAGAAAATCTTTACCATTTAAATATAAGCTTAAATATCCCTTCTCTGCAATTCCAAAATTGTAAGGCTCTGCAAAGTGCATGTTTCTGCTAAAGGTTTATACCACAACTGATCAGGAAACAATACCAGAATTCACCCTATATGAGACCTTTTATACTCCTTATCCATTTTGTGTAAATACTCATACATTTAATTTTTTTTTTTTCAGTTTTTGGCCGAGGCTGGGTTTGAACCTGCTACCTCCAGTGTATGTGGCCGGCGCCCTACTCCTTTGAGCCACAGGCGCTGCCCAATATTTTTAAAGAAAGATTAATGTATTTGTTCATATGGTATTGCCTCTGGCCTCACTGGGGAGTTAGGTAGTACTATACCATGCATTATACTCTCTTACTTCCCTAAGATCTGAACAACTGGGTTTCCTAATCTTTGTCATCCTAGGGGTTTCACATAAATGATTATGAGTCTGTAGCAGGCCTGAAGAGAATAGTGAAAAGGTCATCTGTATATATTTTCTGTATTTGTCCTTTGTAGTTGGGAGAAAATATTAAGGAATTCATTTCAGGTTCTTTGACTAACAAAATTAAGTGTAGCATAATAATTTTCACCAAAGGTATTTTATTTGTTTTGAAAACACATCCAGTAATGACTATGAATGATACTGATTTTTCACATAGCAATAATAATAACAAATGACCAGACCTCGGCTTCCCAAATAGAGGAAGTATTGAAGATGTTGTTATGTATTAAAGCTGGGACACTGGTACCATATAAAGTTTCGTATAAAAGATTCTTCCAGTCTAGATGTGGTGGGCTCATGCCTGTAATCCTACCACTCTGGGAGGCCAAGGCAGGAAGATCACTTGAGCTTAGAAATTTGAGACCAGCCTGAGCAAGAATGAGACACTGTCTCGACAAAAAAAGAGAGAGAGAGAGAAAAATTAGGTGATTGTGGTGGTGCACACCTCTAATCCCAGCAACTTGAGAGGCTGAAGCAGGAGTATCACTTGAGTGCAGGAGGTTTCAGTGAGCTGTGATGACACCACTGCACTCCAGCCAGGGCAACAGAGGGGAGGGAAAAAAAAACAGATTCTTCCAAAGTGAGTACATTCACTTGAATTCTGAGGGATACTTAGGTTAGAGCTCCCTCTGTTGACTGAAAAGTGAGTCAGAATTATTCGGAAGATTTGGTTTACTGCTTAACAGACTAGGGATATATTGACATTTGAATTTATTAAACATGATTTTTCTCCCTTACTACTACCATACTATGTTCAGTGTTTTTTCCTCAGGAGAAGCATACATAGTCAACTTGAGATTTTAACAGTGAACTAGAAATTTTTCTCTAAAAACTGTGAACATTGGCCAGGTGCAGTGGCTCACACCTGTAATCCTAGCACTCTGGGAGGCTAAGGTGGATGGATTGTTTGAGCTCATGAGTTTGAGACCAGCCTGAGCAAGAAAGAGACTCCCCTCTCTAGTAACAATAGAAAAACTAGCCAAGCATAGTGGCACTCGCCCTTGTAGTCCCAGCTACTTGGGAGGCTGAGGCAAGAACATTGCTCAAGCCCAAGAGTTTGAGGTTGCCGTGAGTTATGATGCTATGACACTCTACTCAGGGTGACAAAGTGAGATTCTGTCTCAACAACAAAAAAAAGTGAACATCATTTGGAAGGCTGGAGCAGAAAGATCACCTGAGCCTAGGAGTTTGAGGCTACAGGGAGCTATTATTGTGCCGCTACACTCCAGTCTGTGTGACAGAGTGAGACCCCATCTCTAAAAAGAATTTATTTAATGTGAAAGGACCATTCCAAGTCCCTTCATGTGTGTCCATTTTCTGCTTCTTACCCCAAATGTTAAACACTTTAATTAAGACCTGTGTTAATTTGACTGGAGGGACATACACTTATAATTTTTATCTTTCATGTATATAATACTTGCCACTGAGTTTACTAACCCCCTGGAATTATATGTAAAGCATGTCAGTGCATGTATACAATTTTCTCAAAAAAGTCCACTCTTCATCATTTTGTGGGCCAGAAAAAGTTGAGAACCACTGCTATGAAATACAATTTCTATGATCTTAGGACCATGAATAAGTGTATCAAAGAGCTCAGTAAAGGGTGTTCTGCTCAACAGAATGGCCAGGAAATAAAGGTGGCCAGTGGCCTTTCTTCTGCAAGTCTGAAAGAGGTTCTATTCTAGGGAAGAATCTTAATTTTATTTCCTGGCAAATACTCTGGGCCTCAGAGAAAGAAGAGTTTCAAAGATTAGGAACCGTGTACCCCCTAAATGTATTGAAATTAAAAAATACCAAACGAGTAGGAACGTTATAAAATGATGCCTTAGTGTCATGAGAGGAGCATAATTGGAGTCCAGCTTTAGCTCTTGAGATAAATTATTTCATTCTACCCAACCATGTACTTGAGCTCAGTTTAGAGGGCCTTCCAAGTAAATTTATAATAAAAGCTCTACCCTCAGTGACCTTACAATCTCACTAAGGAGATGAAACACAACAGTGAAAGTAGAGAGAAAAGAAAAAATACATGGTGCTATGTACTTGGTGAGGGAAATCTCATGTAGTGGAGGACAGGAATAAGGCAATGTGGCAGGCACAAGGAGAGACAATGATCTGAATGGGGTTTGGGGAGAGGCCTGGAGTTTGAGCCATGTCTGGAAGGGTGACAAGGTCTGACTGTGCCAAGAGAAGATGTAGAGTAAGAAAACTGCTTTTACAGATATGTAAACATGAGAATTAAAACAGCCGTTATGAAGAAAACCAGGAGGCCTGCCTGTCCAAGTCAAGGGCCTTGTGTTTAAGTGTGGTTAGGCATGAGAACAGATAGTGAGGTGTAAGTAACAGCAGGCTTTAGATAAGGGCCCAGCAAACTTTTTCCTTGAAGGGCTAGATACAGCCTCTGTTACATACCGTTCTTCATCTTATAACCCTTTAAAAAATGTGAAAACCATTCTTAGCTTGTTGACTTTGTAAAACAGGCCTTGGATAATACCCAGCCCCTAGTTTAGATGGGGGCAGGGGAGGTAAGGGCAGAATAGATCTTCAGAGAGTTTGCCACTGTGAAATGATATGAATTCTTTGTTTTAGTAAGAGGAATCTGACAACCAAATAGAGGAAAGATTGAAGGTGTGAAGGGGGAGGAAGTAGGCCGATCCAAGCATGATGTGATGAGAACTTAGATCAGTTGTGAAGGGGATAGAGAGGAAGGTTAGAGTCTCAGAGCCACTCTATAGGGAGGAATAATGAGGACAAGAGACAATAGATGGGGAAAAGTGAGTAATACAAGTCCAAAAATTTGGATCTGAAAGATGAAAAGCCTGGTGTTGATGTGGAAGGAAGGAGTTTGGAAAATGATTCGGTGAAGGGGAGGACAAATGTGATAGTAACAGTTGTAACTTGAATCTGAGCTGAAGATGAAATCTCCTGTGGTAGACAGAGCTCTTGAAGTTGCCATGTTGAGTCAGTCAATGGCAAAGAGTGTGTCAGGCAATATGGAGAACTAAGTGCCCTCCAGGTTTAGTCTCTAATAGAGTAGAGCAGTAAAGAAGAAAGGATGGACAAAATTGAGGACAGTGGAAGTTTCCCAGACTAACCTCCCATTTCCCCCAGTAGTTCATTTATTTCTTTGTCCTACTTCATTCTGTAAAGGATTTGAAGCGGCTTCCAGAACTCATTATGGATTATTGTGATTAGTGTAATATTCTATTCATGATTCATTCACAAGTCCCTTTTCTTCAACCTAAGCAAATAATTGCTACAATTTGCTGAGAACCTTTTATGTGCCAGGTACTATTAGGCTCTTTATAAACATGAATTCATTTGCTCATTAAAAAAAGTTTAATTCTTTTTATTTTCTAATACTTCTTTTCTTGATTGCAACAGTATATGACATATAGAAGTTGTTAAGTAAATGTTTGACTAATTATAATACATAATCATTGACGAAGCTTTAGAAAACAGAAAAAAATTCTGTAAAACATTTAACTCAGGTAACAGTTGGGCTAGCCTTTGGCTATATCTCCTTTTTGTTCTATCATCCTCAAAGTCAATTCTCATGGATAAACATGCTGATCTTAGGACAGATGCTAGGAGTTGCTTTTTTGAGAATTTTTAAAATCATTAAATCTTGGGTATAAGTTTATTTGGCTTTATTTGCCTTCCCCAAAGTGGAGGATACTCTGTGACTATGGTCAGAACAGATGTCGATCCTGGTAAGAAGATGCTGAACATTCTCCCCTCTCCTCCCTGTGCCTCCAGGCCTGCTATGGCATCCTCAAAGTCCCAGAAGGCAGCTGGCTTTGTCGTTCCTGTGTCCTGGGCATTCATCCACAATGTCTGTTATGTCCAAAGAAAGGTGGAGCCATGAAGACTACCAGGACAGGGTCTAAATGGGCTCATGTCAGCTGTGCTCTGTGGATTCCAGAGGTAAGAGTTCATCCAGGGCTGCAAGGCCATTTACTCCAATGTGCCACCATTCCCCACAACGTTCAGACTGACTCAGGCTTAGCATGGAGATGCTTCATGCTTGTCCATATTTCTGAGGTAATAATGCTTCTGCTTGAGCTACCTTAGAACCATCTTGGATGCAAGTGAGCATGTAAGCTCATGCTGATGAATTTATAGGTGGTACTCCAAGTGGTATATAATAAATTTTCATGAGAAGAGAGGCACAAAAGACCAGAGTATGAGCAGCAGATTTTTTAAAGGTTAAACTTACCTTTAAATGCCAAATCTTAAATGTACAGTTTTGTGAACTTTTACACAGGTACATATCTGTAACCACAACTCAGACCAAGACATGAAACACCCCCAGAAATAACATAGAATATCACAGAAAGATCCCTTATACCCACTTTCCAGTCCCTATCCCATGGGGAATACCTACCATTTTTATTTCTATCACGATGAATTAGTTTTGTCTGTTTGAACTTCATATAAATGGAATCATCCAGTATATGCTCGTTCAGTCTGGCTAGCATTCCATATTGTGGTGTGTATCAATAGTTTCATTCCTTCCTATTACTGACTAGTATTCCATTGTACAGATAGACAGTGACTTATTATTTATCCATTCTCCTTTGAAGCTCTTTTCTGAGCTTAGACTCACCATTTGCCTAAGACCTTTATTCAAAACTCTATTATCTATCTCATTATCTAACCTGGTCCTTCATTCAGTTGCTGGTTTTTCCCGACAGGCTATGTGTACTCCAACTTAATTAAAACAGATCTTCCAGATGTTTCTGCTCCTTACATCTTATGGCTCCTTTTCTTTTTTTCCTTAGCGGTTTGGATATCCTATTCACCCTCTCTTCCCAACCCCTATTCAACCCAGCAAATTTGTTAGCCATTTTAACTTGCATAAGAGAGACTTCAGAATTCAGTTAATGGGAACCAATAGTACTATATCAGCAGTTCATTTTCCTTTAAATTTTCCTGGCTTTAATCTTGTCAACATTGGTTTCATGGTAGTTACCATCTGATAACCAAGCTTGTACTCTTGTGGCTATAGACACCAGTATTTTTTAAATATTTCAGTAATAGTTTCTTTTTCTCACTGAGAACATGTAAAATGAACTCTCAGGTTTCTGGCTTGAGAGTGACTGGTTTCTAGCAGCAAATCCCCCAGCTAATAGAGCAGGCTTTTCTCAGCTTGTAAAAGTATAGAACATGACTCAGAAAGAGTTCCTTAAAAGTAAAATAAACTTTCTCTGCTATTGATGTTCTCTTATTCTCAATAGTACCTTTTGGACTATATAAGATCTCTCTGTTGGTTTCCTAGTCTGGGTAAAACTTGAATTAGTAGTTTGACCATCCTTATTTGACAATTCTTCACTTTTGGGGTTTTTTTTAATTTTTTATTAAATCATAACTGTGTACATTAATGCATTTATGAGGTACAGTGTGCTGATTTGATATACCATGTGAAATGCTTACATCAAAGTGATTAACAGAACCATCTGCTCGCTTACTTATTTGTTGTGGTAAGACATTCATAGTCTATTCTTAATAGTTTAGAAATGTATCATTGCTGGCTCGGCACCTGGGGCTCAAGTGGCTAAGGCACCAGCCACATACACCTAAGGTGGCAGGTTCGAATCCAGCCCGGGCCCGCCAAAACAACAATGCTGGCTGCAACCAAAAAAACATAGCCGGGTGTTGGTTATAGCACCTGTTGTCCCAGCTACTTAGGAGGCTGAGGCAGGACACTCGCTTGAGCCCAGGAGTTGGAGATAGCTGTGAGCTGTGATGCCACGGCATTCTACCCAGGGGGATAGCTTGAGGTTCTGTCTCAAAAAAAAAAAAAAGAAAAGAAAAGAAATGTATCATTGCATTATGCACATTAGGTTAGGTCTCCCCCAAATGCCTGGCCTCTCTCTTCCTTCCCCCTCTCCTTCCTCTTCCCTCCTTCTTTCTGGACTATAGCTGTGTTTTACTATTCCTATGAATGTGTAGGTGATTATATACTGATTTCATAGTAGCATTAAATACATTGGATACTCCCCCCCCCATTCTTGAGATACTTTACTAAGAGGAATATGTTCCAGCTCCATCCAGGTAAACATAAATAATGTGAAGTCTCCATCTTTTTATGGCTACATAGTATTCCATGGTGTACATACACCACAATTTTTATTTTTTGAGACAGAGTCTCACTGTGTCACCCAGGGTAGAGTGCCTTGGTATCACACCTCCCAGCAACCTCCAACTCCTGGGCTTAAGCAATTCTCTTGCCTCAGCCTCCCAGGTAGCTGGGACTACAGGTGCCCGCCACAGTGCCCAGCTATTTTTTGGTTGTAGTTGTCACTGTTGTTTGGCAGGCTCAGGCTGAGTTCAGACCTGCCAGCTCCACTGTGTATGGCTGGCACCCTAGCCGCTGAGTTACAGGCACCAAGCCATACCACAATTTCGTAATCCATTCATGGGTCAATGGGCACTTAGACTGCTTCCATGGCATGACAATTATGAATTGGGCTGCAATAAACATTCTGGTGCAAATGTCTTTGTTGCAAAATTATTTTTGATCATCTGGGTAAATACCTAATAGAGGGAGGGTAGGTTCACTTTTAGTTCCTTGAATATTCTCCAAACTTCTTTCCAATAAGGCGGTTTTAGCTTGTATTCCCATCAGCAGTGTAGAAGTGTTCCCTTCTCTCCACATCCATGCCAACATCTGTACTTTTTGGATTGTTATGTGGGCTAATCTTACTGGAGTTAGATGATATCTCTAAGTGGTTTTGATTTGCATTTCTCTGATAATTAAAGATGATGAGCATTTTTTTCATGTATTTGTAGGCCATGCACCTGTCTTCTTCAGAGAAGTTTCTGTTCAAGTCTGTTGCCCACACAGAAATGGGGTTATTTGTTCTTATCTTATTGATTAGTTTGAGCTCTCTGTGGATTCTAGTTATCAGATTGTCAGAAGCATAACCTGGAAATATCTTTTCCCATTCTGAAGGCTGTCTGTTTGCTTTATTTACTGTGCTGTTGGCTGTGCAGAAGCTTTTTAATTTGATCAGATCCAAGTAATACGTTTTTGGTGTTGCTTCAATTGCCACAGGGGTCCTCCTCATAAAAAATTCTCCCAGGCCAATTTCTTCAAGTGTTTTCCCTGCACTCCCTTCTTTTTTTTTTTTTGAGACAGAGCCTCAAGCTGTCGCCCTGGGTAGAGTACTATGGCATCACATCTCACAGCAACCTCCAACTCCTGGGCTCAAGCGATTCTCCTGCCTCCACCTCCCAAGTAGCTGGGACTACAAGCACCCACCACAATGCCCAGCTATTTCTTGGTTGCAGCTGACAGTGTTTGGCAGGCCCATGCTGCATTTGAACCTGCTGGCTCAGGTGTATGTGCCTGGCACCAAGCCTGCACTCTCTTCTAATATTTTTATAGTTTCATGTCTTAAGTTTAGATCTTTTATCCATTGAGAATCAATCTTTGTTAATGATGAGAGATGAGGGTACAGTTTCATTCTTCAACAGGTCACCAGCCAGTTCACCCAGAGCCATTTGTTAAATAGGAACTCTTTCCTCCAATGAATATTTTTGATAGTCTTTTCAAAGACTATAAGTGGCTGGGTTGATCTCTTGGTTATCTATTCTGTTCCAAAATCTACCTCTCTATTTTTGTGCCAGTACCAGGCCATTTTGATCACTGTAGATTTATAGCATAGCCTGAAGTCTGGTAACGTGATATCTCCTGATCTGTTTTTATTTCTGAGTAGTGTATTTGCTATTTGAGATTTTTTCTGATTCCATATAAAACAAAGCACTGTTTTGTTAAGCTCTTTAAAGTATGATGATGGTGCTTTAATAGGGATTGCATTAAATCTGTAGATTGCTTTGGGTAGTATGGACATTTTAACAATGTTGATTCTTCCCAGCCATGAGCATGGTATGTTTTTCCATTTGTTTACATCTTCAGCTATTTCTTTTCCCAGAGTTTCATAATTCTCTTTATAGAGATCTTTCACGTTCTTTTTTTAGATAAATTCCCAGATATTTCATATTCTTTGGCACTACTGTAAAAGGAATAGAGTCCTTGACTATATTTTCAGCTTCACTATTGTTGACCTATACAAAAGCTACAGATTTGTAAGTACTGATTTTGTATCCGGAGATGTTACTGTATTCCTTGATCACTTCTAAGAGTTTTGAAGTTGAGTCCCTGGGATTTTCCAGGTATAGGATCATACCATCAGCAAAGAGAGTTTGATCTCCTCTGACTCCCCTTGATCCCCTTACCTTGCCTGATTGCAATGGCTAGAACTTTCATTACTATGTTCAGTAGCGGTGGAGACAATTGGCATCCTTGCCTAATTCCAGATCTGAGTGGAAATGTTTTTAATTTTACTCCATTCAGTATGATATTAGCTGTGGGTTTGCTGTATAAGGCCTCTATCAATTTCAGAAATGACCCTTCTAAGCCTATTTTCTTGAGTGTTCTGATCACGAAAGGGTGCTGGATATTATTAAAAACTTTTCCTGCATCAATTGAGAGAATCATGTGGTCTTTGTTTTTTAATTTATTTATGTGATGTATTATATTTATAGATTTATGTATGTTGAACCAGCCTTGTAACTTGGGATAAAACTGACTTGATCATGGTGTATACTTTTTTTGATGTGTTGTTGAATTCTGTTTGCTAGGATCTTTTTTTTTGAGACAGAGCCTCAGCTGTCCCCCTGGGTAGAGTGCCTTGGCATCACAGCTCACAGCAACCTCCAACTCCTGGGCTCAAGCAAGTCTCCTGCCTCTGCCTCCCAAGTA